CAACCAACCAACCAACCAACCAACCAACCAACCAACTAACCAACCAACCAACCAACCAACCAACCAACCAATAATGCAACCCACCAACCAGCCAGCCCACCAATCAATCATTCTTCTCCCCTTCATCCCGTCCCAGGTACAAGTTCCACAACGGCAAGTGGTCAATTGCGGGCAAGGCTGACCCCGAGATGCCGCGCCGCATGTACATCCACCCGGACTCACCCTGTACCGGGGACCAGTGGATGCAGAAGGCCATCAGCTTCCAGAAGCTCAAGCTCACCAACAACATCGCTGATAAAAACGCCTATGTGAGTACTGGCTGTTTTGTTTGTTTGTTGTTGTTGTTGTTGTTGTTGTTGTTGTTGTTATTGTTGTGTGTGTGGTAGCCTATCATTCATAATTGTTTAGTGCTCCGAAGAGCAACACCGCCTCTCTTGGGTAGCGGGTGAGACAGTCCAACCTCCCTGAATCCTCCTCAAAGAGATGCCACCGCCGGACTTCCGTAGCGGGGCAAACCTTGGGGCTTCTCGCTGCACAATGGACAGATTGGGTCCAATGTGTTGTCAACTCTATGTTTGTAGGCCCGCAGCCCAGAGAAGTGACCGGTCCTGATTTTTGCCAGTACTGACTGGCAGGGCCGAAGTTCGATTCCGAAGTGATCTAAATTGCAGCGAAGGAGGCGTTAAAAACCCCTGATAAAAAACCCCCACCCTAACTTTTTAAAAATATGTTTGTTCTGCATTGACATAAGGAATTTCAGGTACATTACTGATATATTGGCTGTGTTAGTTTGTCTATATGTACCAGTTCATCTCTTCCTCCATTTTTCCTTTCAACCCCTCTCTTCCTTGTAACTCGTTGTCACTTATTCCCTCATTTTCTCCTCCATCTCAATGTCTTCCACGGCCTCACTCACTCTTCATCTTTCCTTCCCATCTTCTCCTCCAACCCTCTCCGTCCTCGTTAACCAGTCAACCCTCTCCCCGCTCATGTCACCCCTCCCCCCTTTCATCTCTCTACCCCTTCTTCTCCTCCTCTCCTCCCTTTTGCCTCTCATCATAAGTTCCTTCAGCCCTTCAGCCCCCCCCCCTCTTCTCTCCCATCCACCCTCTTACCTCACCACTTCTTTTCCTCCAACCACCCTTTCCCCCCTCCTTTCATCTCTTCCCATCTCTACTCACACATTTTTTCCTCCCTCCGCCACCCCTCTTCATTTATTCTCCAATCTTTCTCTACATCCCCTCCCTCCCTTCTTCCTTCGAACTCTTCTTCATCTCTTCCCCCATCATCTCCTCCAACCAACACGTCCACCTCACCCACCACCTCTCACCGTAATAAGTTCCTAAGCAATCAAGCAACAAGAACTAGGAAACGACGCCGAGAACTGTGGGGGAAGGGGGGGGGGGAAAGTGCACGGCGCCAAAAGTCACTCTTGCCGTCTGTTTGATGTGTCCTGCGGTGTCACGTGATCACAGGCGGCCAATGGACGGCCACATTCCGGAGGTGTTAGAACTAGAGTGCTCCCCCTTTACGCCATGACCAAGCACTCGGCCGGTGATGGACGGATAAGCGCCAACGCGGACCAAACATTTCTGGGCCGAAAGTACTAGATATTTGTGTCACGACGCGGTGGAATCAGGCGCTCGTCAGTTTTTGGGAATGTGGGGGGTATTGGTATTATCTTAGGCTTGTTCATTTGTCTTCCTTTCAGTGAAAAATACCCATTTATTTTGAATAGAAGTCGAAATATTTGCGATTGAATGGGAAGGGTGTCGCTTGTTTTTCAGAGGTAAAATTAGAGAGAAACTGGCCACCAAAGTTTGGTGATTTCCAAAGCTAAAGAGTCTTTGGAAACTGCAAATGTACATTTTTTGTGTGCCTTTATTGAACGTTTCTCGGTAAAATTCAGGTATTAATGCGTTTTTCAATGGCAACAACAACCCCCCCAAAAAATTGAGGAAAAAAAAACATCTATAAGAATTGTCAAACGGGTAGAAAAATACCGATTTTTCCAATTTCATTACATTGAGGAGGGCCTAATTTCACCACAATGCCTCACATTTGGAGGTTGGGGTTGGAGGGAGGGAGGGGGAGGGAGGAAGGCTTGGATTTATGCACCAGTACTGACAAGTAGAAGTTTTTTTTCTCCAATATATGTATTAAAATTTGTTCCTTAGAAATGAGAATTTATGGGGGATCTAAATTGTGTCGAGGAGGGTCTAAAAATCACCAACATTTCAGAGAGAGAGAGAGAGAGAGAG